GGGGGTCTGGAAACTGTGCATCACATTCACAACAAGTGAACAGCTGAAGGAAAATAACCACACAAAGTAATAAAACTGTTTATGGTGCCAGGCAAACTGAGGCAGAGCAAGTGTGCCGGTGGCGGTTCTGTGGAAACTGAACACTTTATAGACGCACATTCTAATCCGTCAACAAATCTTGAAAACCTTTTTTAAAAGTCACGCGTTTACCTTCGCGTTTTTTATGCATTCCTCTTTCTATTTGCGTCCTTCAAAACGTTGTTTCACCTTTTGTTTTCAGAGAAAAGAATTTGACCTTACGATTAGGTTCATCAAAATCATTATGTTAAAAAACTCAAACTACAAATCATAATTCTCATAAGATAATTGCCTTGTCATTTTAGCTTTGTTTGGAGTTTTTGTGTTCTGGAATGAAGAGCAGAACCAGCTTGGTAATATAGTTCAATTTGACAAAAGAATAATCCTAATATAAAATCAATAATATATATAAATTGAGTGTACCCAAATCCAAGCATTTCCCAGAGCCAATTGTTCGAAAGCAAAATATGTGGGGGGAAGGGGGAGGGGGGGGGGTCTCATTTTCTCAAAATCGCTAAGAATGGCTAAGGCATAATTTATCTTATGAGCGTGACGAAATGTTACTTTTTTAATTAACGTAGGTGTTTTAGGTCCCCAGAGACACAATTTAAATCATTTAGGAGGCGGGCTTCCGACCCCGTGAACCGGCCAGTCAAGGCCAACATGACCTGAGGCAAAGATAGAACATTATGTAGACTCTTTGCCTGAGGGGGATATCGAATTACAACAACCCAGGAGAAAGACAAAGATACTCGATGAAAATTCTCCCCACTTGGGAATCGACCAGGGTCTCCAGCACGGAGAACCCGTTTTCGTCCCAAAATGTTCATTTTGAAATTTCGTTCTATCCCGATTTAGTCCGCCATTAATTAGATTACCGCACTTATAAATTACTGCAACAATTGCCATTCCGATTCCAAAGTGGAATGAGATGCATGGAGAATATTCATTGTTCATAATCACATCAAGAGGGGGGAGGAAGTAGGATTTCGTGCAGGATGAAAATTTGAGTTAAGCGTTTGCAAAATAAAACAGTTTCGATGAAAGCCAAATTAATAAAACTCTTGTTGAAAATCTGTTATAAATCCAGGGTAAAACCGTTCACTCTGTTTACAGTCAGTCTACCTCTGCCTCATGAGATGATAAACTGCTGAAATTTCCAGCAAACAGTTGAGATAAAGAATAGTATGTCTCAGAACAACACCACATCCGCATTTCGCAATCATAGATAAACAGACAGACAGACAGACAGACAGACAGGCAGACAGGCAGACAGACAGACAGACAGACAGAACAGAGTAAGAATTGCAGTAAGAATTAAAAGTACGACTTGTGTGACTTATGATACTCCTTCTGCAAGAGCAGACGAAAGAAATCATAAACCGGAAGTAGTGCGTGGACAAAGTGTTGGTATTGATTTTTCTAGGTCTACGTTGAAATCAACGCTTCCTACACGCAACATTTACTTTGAATCACGTAGACAATATATAAACACACTAAACGCACTGTGGAATTCCGTACTTTTTAACGGTTGGGTACTTTTTTCACCTGTTTTTCAAAATAAAAAACTGATAAATTCAGAAAATAAAGGGGCTGTTGTATGATAAATTCTTTAATTGCGCTTTCTGCTGTTGCAAGACACGTAAATGTGTGTAGAAAAACCATCTAACGCTTGAACAAACGTTTTAACACCACTAGAACTGTCCAAGACAAGCCTAGACGTGGTCAACCAAGGGCGACAACTCGAAGTCAGAATTGGGTATTTTCAACACCCACGTACGAAACCCGTTACAACTAAGTGCATAGACTGTCAGGTACTTCGGACTATCATAAAACACCATTATTAGACATTTATAAGATCGCCGATTACGTATTATCGCCCTTTGCTTGGAGCCATTCTAAGCTTGTTTCATTGGACAAATCGCCAGATTTTGGCACAACAACATTGGCAATGAAACTAAAGACGTTGGTAAAATGTTCTTTTAAGCAATGGTTAAGGTTTTTAATTCGTCGCATTGATGGAAAAGAAAACGGGTTTAAAAGAAAAGGATAGAGATTTCCCAAATCCAACGTCCCCCAAGAGGCCCGAATCGGTGGCTGAAATGTGATGGTATGGGGTGGAATCTCTGCTCTTTGTCGTACACATTTGGTTACTTTTCAAAGCAACCTCAAGAGACGACGGTATTGTGACAAAATTCTTCGTCACAGTGACTGCCCTACATGGCACGGATGATGGAATTTGCTAACAAAACAATACCCGACCACAAATGGCTACGATCAGTGAAAACTCCTTCCAAACTCATCAAATGGTTGTTCTGGACTGTCCTGCAAGACCAACAAGCCTTAAACCAACAGAACATCTGTAAGATGGCCTTGACTGGAGGATTAGAAACAGGCTGCACTCCGTATAAACTCGTCAGGAACTGAAGACTGCACTTCACTAGGAATGGCAGGGGATTCTTCAGACAACCTTAAGGACATTAATTCAGTCAACGAACAGACGTTTTGTATCAGTAATTCAAGCTGAAAGAGGCCACACGCCATACTGAGCAAACTTTGATTTGGATTTTGCAAGAGCGAGTATGAATAAAATTATCTCCCTTGAATAAAGAAAGACATTTGTCAATTCTTTTCATGTCATGTTGGCAGAAAATGAATAAAGATTTCGTGTACCAAATTTCTCTCGGCTATGTGGAATAGTAAAAGAATTATTGTACTTTTAAGGTGGGTGTGACTGAACTTTTGCAACTCGGTATATAATTGCAAATGTGGGATGAAAACGGGTACGATCGTGGCGGGAGGAAGTGAGGCGAGAACTGGTTCACCTGTCCTGCGTGTCACCGCAACACCACAGCGACACGCCGGTCACCTAATTTTTGGTTTTGTTTTGTTTTGTTTTCAGACCCAAAAAAAAAGATTGAAGTGACGTCACTGTTACGCTTATCATAACTATCATGTTCCTAGGCTAATCTCATAGACTATAATACGGGGGTCGTTGTTTATGGATCCAAAAGCCGAGAAAAAAAACAACAACAACAAACAAACAGACAAAACCAAAACAAAGAAAAGAACCGAAGCAAAATATTAAAAAACACGGGGAACAATGTAGATCTTCCTTCGGTCTGGTAATGGCAAATTCCACGCCTTTAATTAACGTAGCGGGCACATACTATTATTTCCGATCAGCACTACAGAAAGGCAGTGTTCTAGCCTAGCACATTTCGAACCATCACGCACTCACACACATCAGAAATACGAATTAAGATACACGTATATCCTAGTAAGTTATATATATATATAT